TATATATATATATATATTGTCTGTCGCTTTGTATAGTTGTGAGACATGACTCTTACCCTGAGGATAAATGTAAATTGAACGAAACTGCGAAAGAAAATATGGGGTGATTATAAATTATTGTCGGGATTTTCATGCCCTATAATTTTCAAGCCGGAAAAATACAAAGAAAAAACTGCTTACAAAAAGTGAAATTGTAATTAAAAAAGTTTTAGTGAGAGAATTAATACGGTGTTGCTAAATAAGATTATTTTAGTTATACTTTCGCATTCCATAAGCATTTTTCCCCCCGATTTGAAAATTATAGGCCACGGAAACCCCGACAATAATTTAGAATCACCTGGACTTCCGTCTTGGGAACGCCTGCCGAATGATAGTAACAGACCCTGTTTCAATCATGAAAAGTACGTAAAATCTACCCCATATTAAGTTATTAATCCCCACATTGAAGTAGAGCTATATACAAGCATACGTGAGCTAGTGTTCAGAATAATCTTCATTTCGTTGTCTACCTGATAAGGCCCTCAGTGCCTATCGTCTCACATTCTTTGCTTTTGTACATTAATATCATATCTCTTATCTATAAAGCCCAGAAATGAGCAGGGTTGTTCACAAAATTTGCGTTCAAAACTCATTATACGTTGCAAACAAACCCTCTCTAGACATAACAATGTGATGTGTTATGTTCCAGTATGGACCACCCACTGTAGTATGCGGTGACGGAGTTTGTGACCAGTGGCGGCTCGTTTGCCTAGACACTAGAAGAATGGTCGCTTGGACGATGAAGTCAATTCCTCTGCAACCCCGGGCCATCCACCGGTGAGTAGTTCCAGTTGAGACTGATTTAATCCTTTGCGAGGGCCGCGCCATAGCTCAAGCGGTTAGTCGCTGGCTTCCCACCGCGGTGGCCCGGGTTCGATCTCGGGGTCTAGTCAAGTGGGATTTGTGGTGGACAAAGTGGCGCTGGGGCAGGTTTTCTCCGAGATATTTCGGTTTCCCCTGCCAATCTTCATTCCACCAGTTGCTCCACAATCACCCTCACCTATCATCTAGGGCTGGTACAATAGGCCAGAAGTGGCCGCAGTACAAGGGACTTAGTCTCACCCCACTAGAATTAAAAATATGAATCCTTTGCCAGGGTTTACGTACAACAGCAGTGTAGCTGTGCTTCATGAGAGAGACGACAATGCGTACATAATCATTTCGCTTTTAAGGTGAACCACAGTAAGCTTCCCTGTAATTGACACGTAGGTTATGTGTAAAGCAATATGCAGCGATTGAGCTAGAATTATATTTATTTATAGCGCAATTTCTGCTTTGGGAACGTCGATTGTCACATGTTTCAATTATGCAAAGTGGTTAATCCATGCACCCACTCCCCCCACCCTAGAAGTCTCCCTCGTTGTCAGAGGTTTTGTAGGCGGCAAGGATGATAGAAGTGAATTGTTAGGTTAAATGGGGGAGGAGAGTCCAGCAAACTGTGCTGTCCCCTCCATCTTTGTACGCGTTTTTCAGTCATTAACAGACCGAATGCAGATCGGAGTTCACTTCGAAGATCAACTAACAATGGAACGAACACATAATGTGCAAGTTTCTTAATGACTGATGACGTTGGCACTGGATACCGATAAATCCTAGCGTGTGTTTGATATGGATAATAACCGACTAATATTTGCTTAAGTTGTCAAGAAATTCAGCACTTCTTTTAGACCCATAATTCCATCACTGTCTTCAGGATGTTCCCATCACTTGTGCAAATTATACATTTCTTTGTCCCGAGATAGATGAATTGAATCCACAACTTCACATCTAATTTCGTTAAAAGTAATTTAAATATTACCGTTCCCACTATGCCTAGACTTTGAGCTTAGTGACTAAAATGTATGAATTTCTGTTGTTCTCTTAATCAGCTCTATCTCAGAAAGGATCGGTCTGAAGATCCAGATTTATATGTCGTTAATAAGTCTAAGACATTTCTATCGGTCCGGCTGTGTTTCATCTCCGAAACTACTTTAACATTTGTTTTTCCTTGGCACTACAGCCCCAGTGGGCCTAGGCCTACCTCCATGAACTTCTCCGTTCACTTCGGTTTTTCTAGATCTTACACATTCGGTAGGACTCCTTGGGCGGGTGATCAGCTCGTCGCAAGGCCTCTACCTGTAAACAAACACAGAAAAACTCACACACACAAATTAATCATCCATGCCCTGAGTGGCATTCGAACCCACGATCCCGGTTTCCAAGCGAGCGAAGACAGTACATGCCTTAGACCGCTCGGCTACCGTGACCGGCCTACTTTAACATATTTCGATTAAATTCAGTTTATGATTCTGTACTGAAAGCCTTCGGGAGAATTTTAATTTTTAAATAGACTAAGTACACAGAGCTAAGCCCTTCTTGAGAAGTCGCCAATTGTGCAGCTACTTAAGAACTTCCCAACACTTTATGGAACCCGAATGTTCATTACCGTGTTTACAAGAGCATTCCACTGGTCCTTATCCTGAACCAGCTCAATCCAGCTTCGAACAACCCATCTTCTCTAAGAACTATTATATTATTATCCACCCATCTACATCTTGGTCTTCCTAGTGGTCTCTTTCCTTCTTATTGTAATGCTTAAATATAAACAATGATATACATTAATCCCAAACTGAACTTCTTTTGAGAATTTCTTGTCGTTATTCGAAGCGCTGTTGCTTTGAAAATATTGATTCCATCACGCTAGACCCACACAAACTGTGAAATATTTTTCTTCTCTCTCGAAATGGTAAATATGTTAGGAAATACAACGAAAAGAAATTTATGACTTGGTGCGATGCGATTAGCTTTACAGCAGCATATGAAGATCATCAGCACGGATGAGGTAAGCAAAATAGCAAATAGCTATTTGTCAAATTATTTTGCTTCATAATGTACAGTCTTTCGTTCATTTTTGCTGGGTTTTCTTACGAAACGCCCACTTTAATATTTCCACACAGTAATGTAGCATCTGTCCAATCGGTCACGGTATATAAAGGTCTTGTGTTTGTTTTGCTTCTTTCTCGTTAGTTTGCCAGGTTAGGCACTGGAGGTCACGTGTAGCAATTATATTTAAGTGACTGCATCTCGCGAACGCTATCGTATTGAAACTAGCTTCTGATCGAAACGAATATCGAATGTCAGACATATAAAGGGAGCTTCCGGTAGGTATGCTTCCTAGAATTAGGCACAAATCCTGTTCTTCTCATTCCTCCTTTTTATACAATTCCTACGTGTCTCAACCCTTATTATATCAACCTACTTTTAAGCCATAGAACATTGATGGACATCTTTTAACTGCTTTGAAATTGATACATATAGGTTACTTACTAACTCATGGAGCTATTCCATTCTTGAAAAGCCGCAAATTGTGCAGCTACTCAAGAAATTCCAAACATTTTATGGAACCTGTATGTTCATTACCGTGTTCACAAGAGCCCTCCACTGTTCTCTATTCTGAATCAGATTAGTCCAATCCATACCATCCCATTCTATCCCTATAAAATCCATTTTATTGTTTTCCTCCAGCCTACGTCTTGGTCTTCCCAGTTGTCTCTTTCCATCTGGCTTTTACACCAATATGAACACACAAAATATTTCGCCCTCTGGTCAAATACGTAGGTTTTGTGATTATTCCTTTATTTAATGTCTTTTAATTTAGACTAATCTGTTCATAGTATATCTATTTTACAGCTTAATTTTCCTAGTCTCCCTTACTATTCAAATTCACCTAGAAACGAAGTGAATGTTGTTTGATTATATGCCCATTTTATAGCAGGCAGTCCTCTAATTCCTTGGAGGAAAAAAAATAACGTTTTCATAGTATGCATTGAAGGAAATGACCTTGAGAATTGGGCATAAGAATTAAATGTCTTGAAGTTCTGAAGAATTCAATCTCGTATCTCTATGATTCGTATAGATGTGCTTATGTGGACAATTTTACGGTTCTGTTTATATTATTTACTGCAATTTTTGCTGAGTAGGATATCCTGCTACCCTTTGCAAATATTGTGTGACTGGGGGAAGGGTGATAACGCGTTTAAGTCGACCCAGATAATTTATGGGTTGGATTTAGCCAACACGAAGTATAGGCCCGGTGGTACGGCCATGTGTGTATTCACTGATAGTCGGGATAAAGGGTCGTTTGTTAACAGAATTGGCTAGCGTCAGTCTGCTAATTCGATCGATACATTACACTTACTAATTGCAGTTATATCTAACTTAAGTCGTTAACATTAGTCATGCCGTTGCTTCAGCACATGTATCATGATTATAATATAGCAGTTTTATGCATATTCCGTGGAAAGGATAAATTTAAGAAAGAGCCGTTGGACCTATTTGAATGTCATCTTTAGGTTTAGATGTTACAGAAGAGAAGTGTTTGATCATTTTTAAAGAAACCAAACTTATGTCCAAGTTTATATGAACTGATTTTAATGTACTAGGGGCAGAATTTTAATTTTGTTCTCCCAACTTTATATTAATTCAAATCATACAAGGATACTAAATAATAGTAGCAGTTGATACATCGCAATTAAATAAACTATCAGTCATAGAATCACGTGTTATACTTCAGCACAAATTCTTTTTTTTTTTCTCTTTCTCTCTCTCATAGTGGTATTATATCTGGGACAGTACTGTGATGGCAGAAAACACATCTCCAGATATTGAATGATTTACGATTTTCGGCACCCTTAGATAAGCGTGGAATGTCAGGGGGAGATTTCACTGGTATCATAGCAGCTGGTGTATATAATGGATTTGCCAAAAACGTAATCGTGAGAATGATATTATTTTGTGGCATCATAATAAATTGTCTCCTGTTTTAATTTTATAGTTTGCCATAGCTGACCTCAGTGATAAAGTTCAGTTTGCCCTTAAACACTAAACAGTGTACGTGTGTACAGTCGTGTTAATGCAGCTTCATGATCAAGATTTGCGGACAGTTTCATGTTCCCAATCCTTCGTTTCCATTGTGCAGTGTAGGGTATTCAATGGGACCCAGAGACTTTTTACAAACTCGATAGCGAAGAATAAGATTTTGGCTCGGCTGAGAATCGAACATCGATCACCCAGCCCCTATTATCATAAATTATTACCAAGATTTAGGATATTGTGCGTGACTTATAGGACGGGTTCTTCGATTGGATGATTGGATTTATTGACACCTTATTCACACAACTCGGAACTAGAGGCATTACAGCGCTATCGCTGATCTACACACTTTACAGTTCATCGTTACACACGCAATTAGGGTTCTCAGTCTTCACTAGTCACATCCTGGCAACGAATTTACAACTGCCTGTCACTTTAACTCACACATGAAATCTTCTTTTCAGAGCCTAATTTCCTTCATGCCATTACTCTGCTACTGCCAACTCAATTAAATTCTGTTGCTCTGAAGTTCATATCCCGGAAGGCCGGCGTCTCGGAACTCAGCTCTACTCGACTCAGTTCTATGCTTCCACTGCCAGCTTCGGAACTCTTCTTTATAAACACTTTGCACTGACCAGGCAGAAAACACACCCTCTCTATTATTGAGAAGGCGTGTTTACGGCGTCGTTGCATAGCAACGGAAGATACTTAATTGTTTCTCGCTTATTTTTTGCTGCGGGATTGTGTTTACCGAGTCGTTGCCTAGCAATAAACGTCTATTCTGATTTTATTCCGATTTTTCAAGCGTCATATCGCT